TAACAAACATTCACAGACCCCTCACCCAATAAACATACTGGGTGCCGAAATGTCTGTGAACAGGGCCCAGGACCCTGGTTACCATGGCAACCCCGACACCAGATACATTTACAACCTAATTGAATGCGAAGCAGGGAAAATCACTGCATGTTCCATAGGAAATCCACAATGCACAGCAGAAATTGACTTTTCTACTAATTAATTCATAGGGAAACCTTTCTTTGAATGAACACACATATCATTCAGGTCATGGTGTATGTTGTCTTTGATATTTTTAGAATATTCTATGCATGCTTATGATGGAACCCATTCCTGTCATCTTGCCATATGTAATCATACCATGTTTAGTATCTATGAATTCGCCTTCTGATGATCTAAACGAGCGTGTGTATTATATGTTGGTACATAGGCAATATATTAGTGTCCTGAGAATCTTTAGTAATGTCGATTCAAGTTCCGTTTGCAAAGTACCATGCCCTCACACAAAGGGTCATAAAAGCTCCCCAGTATCTCAAAACGCCCACTTGGGACGTCAGCCTTTCTCATTGAACAAGCCCATTTTGAGAGGCGGGAATCTTCCGAGACATTAAAAGCCCCACACTAGGGACCCGCCCAGAGTTCGGTGGTTCGGTTGTATTCTGAGAAGATTAAAATGTGAGCTACAATGCTCCAGGAAACTCTTAAGTACGTGCCAGGCTTCGGCCTTGACTTTTCCATTCACCAAGATTCTCTGACTCAAAACTGGTTCTTTTTCATCAACCAACTTCAGCAAAGATCCACGCGAGCCTTCAGATTGAAATATCTACAGCGGATCTAAGTATTTATAATTAATTATAACTAGTTATGATTATTCACATTTCCCCATGAGCTGATTCGCTACACTTATATGAGTTGAACGTGCTTTTTGTGTACCCTGCTTGAGGGAGATGAAAATGTTATGCATCTGAAGCTGTAATTAAATACTGAGAAACGGTGTGTATTATAAGTTTATAATTGTTTTAAATGCCTCTTACTCATTTATGAGAAGGAACCAAGTAGATGACACAGTTACTTTTTTGGTTGATATAATGTGTGTAAATGTATAATTGCCTTTTTATTATTTTTTCAGTTTTATTTAAATTTGTAGTTAAAATAACTAAAAATAAATATATTTTAAAGTTTAGAATTAGACAGCCTTTGCACACAAGCTTACACTGGTAACCCATCAGTGGATTTTCCTCTCAATATAGGCTATATTTTTTTCACACTTTTCTCATTCTATATTTCTGACGTTCCAAAAGCGCCTCCTGCTGGCAGAGAATGAATGTTAATTTTGTACAGTAAGAAAGTTATTTCCCTTAACCAGGAAATTAACGTTCTTAGAATTGACAAGACAGTTGACCCTGAGAGGTCAGCTAAATATCTACAGCGGATCTAAGTATTTATAATTAATTATAACTAGTTATGATTATTCACATTTCCCCATGAGCTGATTCGCTACACTTATATGAGTTGAACGTGCTTTTTGTGTACCCTGCTTGAGGGAGATGAAAATGTTATGCATCTGAAGCTGTAATTAAATACTGAGAAACGGTGTGTATTATAAGTTTATAATTGTTTTAAATGCCTCTTACTCATTTATGAGAAGGAACCAAGTAGATGACACAGTTACTTTTTTGGTTGATATAATGTGTGTAAATGTATAATTGCCTTTTTATTATTTTTTCAGTTTTATTTAAATTTGTAGTTAAAATAACTAAAAATAAATATATTTTAAAGTTTAGAATTAGACAGCCTTTGCACACAAGCTTACACTGGTAACCCATCAGTGGATTTTCCTCTCAATATAGGCTATATTTTTTTCACACTTTTCTCATTCTATATTTCCGACGTTCCAAAAGCGCCTCCTACTGGCAGAGAATGAATGTTCATTTTCAATAATCCAGTCTGTAGGTTTTGTTCAGATCAATGTGAAAATCCACCCACATAACCCTGTTTTAAATTAATATAAGAATTTATACTTCTGGCTCACCCCTGGTTTAAACGCTCAATTGTGAGGTTTATCATTTTATAATTTTTGATTTTGTGAAAACCTGTATCTCAATTGTAAATCAGTTGTTATTTCGTGGTCTACAACATGAAAGAAAACCATTATAACACATTGGACACAACTATGGGGCACCATTGTGCAGCAGCAAGCATCACAACAAAAAAAGGAACCTCAAGGTTAATCAAGGAAAATGTGGGCAAATGTATAGGGCCCCATTCCTATATTTTGCTTGGGGCCCCTAATTCACTAAATCCGCCCCTGCTCAGGGAACCTAGGTTACGACAGTAACCGGAGACATTTTGTAGCGTCGCGGTGCGCGCTTGCTTTCTCCTTGCGTCACCATCAGGTCAGTCGCGTGAGTTTAGACCGTCAGTCCTGCAAGCATCAGTTTACCTGAGCAGCGCGGCGCGTCTTTCCGCTGTGGTACTGACGGGGGATTATTATAAATACGGAGAATTAGTCTCTTTATAAACTTTATTTTGTGGATTAATTTCTGTGTGTGAAACAACATACAGACGCGATGCAGCAGCCCCAGAACGCGCCGCAGACGAACGCGGATCCTGCAGGTGAGTTCCGCTCATCTACGTTATAATTATAACATGCGCTCATCTGTAATAACATGAAAACATAAAATGATCATCAATAACATCAGCTCATCTGTTATAACGGGCCATCATGACTGTGACTGATTGACTTTATTCGTACGTTCACAACGAGCGTCTGTGATGAGAGTTTATGAATGTATAAAGTTTATAAATGCCCCATTTATGCGTTAATTACTTAAAGAAAACAATACTATATTTGAGAACAGCATATTAAAAAGTTTTCTTAATTTGTGTAAGTTGGAAAGTCAGGCGGTATAACACATTTTAAGAAGCCTATGGTCGTAAAGGACAAATATTCTATTGGGTCTCCAAATTTGTTTATAAAACCTGCATGAATGATGGTATAAGAAATGACGAAATGCCACTTTTGATTCAAATAAGGTCACACCTGCTGCCGTTTTGAAAAAATATATATTTTTAACCTCATCATTGCGTTTAATGCAGTACAGTTTTTCATTTTGGTATGTTAGTTTAAGATAAACCACTCTGCTTATGACATGACTTTATGTATTACTGGCTTATAGTCGCATTTTCAGATTAGATAATGTAATGTATATAGTATGTGAATATATGCTTGGGTATATTTGTAGCAATAGCCAAAAATACATTGTATGGGTCAAAATTATCCATTTTTCTTTGATGCCAAAAATCAATAGGATATTAAGTAAAGATCATATTCCATGAAGATATTTTGTAATTTTCCTACCGTGAAAATATATCAAAACTGATTAGTAATATGCATTGCTAAGAACTTCATTTGGACAACTTTAAAGGTGATTTTCTCAATATTTAGATTTTTAGATTCATCCTCAGATTCCAGATTTTCAAATAGTTGTATCTCGGCCACATCTAGTCCTATCCTAACAAACCATACATCAATGGAAAGCTTATTTATTCAGCTTTCATGTGATGTATAAACCTCAATTTTGAAAAATTGACACTTAAGACTGGTTTTGTGGTCCAGGGTCACATATGTAATATATATGTAATATAGTTTAGATTTTGTAATTAAATAAACAATCACGTTGTTAGTATAGTTACTATGTTCAAGCTAACAAGGAATGTTCTGTCAAGGTTTTCTCAATGTTCATTCACAGTTATCTGCTTTTTAATAATGTTCTCTAAATGCGCACACACGATTTTTTTTTTTAAACGTTACGTTTCAGAACGTTCAGAGAACATTCAGAAGTAACATTCCAGTAATGTTTGCAAAATGATACAATGAAATGTGCCCTTAACGTTTGCATAACCAAGAAAAACATCTAAACAGTTTTTAAAACATTTCAACAGTTTGTTTATATTTATATTATGTTTATCAGAAATCATGTTTTCTTAACTTAATGGGAATGTTAGCTGGAATTGAATATATAACTGTATATACTTGTACAACTTTATATATAGCTGTGCGATTATCAAGTCATTTTCATTTGTATAGTGCTCTTCACAATCATACGGTTATGTCTGTAATGCCTTAGTGTTTCACCATAGAGCAGGTTTTAGAGCTGGCCAACAATATTGTTTGCTTTTTTGCAACAATTAGAAATCAGTGTAAGAGACTTATACTTGTGCATGACACTATGCATCTGTTGTGTGATTGTCCAGATGTGTTTGTGAGGCGGCGGCGGACGGCTCTCTGGTGTTCAGTGTCTCTGTTTGGACTCTCTGTTCTTGTTCTGGTGGTCGGGCTGCTGTCGGCCACACAGACGGATAATGTGGCTGTGTCTGGATACTATCCCGGGATTATAGTGAGTGACTCCACACACAACTTCACATTTCATCACTTTAATCAACTCTTTGTTTTGTCCTTTTATTCATGCAATAAAACACCAGGACAGCAGCAGCAGGTCGCAGCACGTTTGAGCCTTAAAGTCTGAAAGTTGAAGTTATTATTACATGTTAAATCAAGTATGTTGGTTTGTTCTCTTCTCAATGGCAGCTGAGTTTTGGAGCGTTCTTGGGTATCGTTGGTCTGAACCTGGTGGAGAATCGCAGGCCGATGGTGAGTACCAGCTCAAATCCAGCCTAAATCTATCAGAAAATGGCTTTATGCTCTATTTTAAGCCATGAGTAAACGGAGTATCGGCTCTCTGAGTGATATAATGGCTCATCAATACAATTACAGTCGGTGTATTTCAGGTGCTGTTTATTTCTGTTCCTGTGAAATATATTTCAGATAATATTACTCGTGAGATATGGCATTTTTACTTGGGAACACAAGGCACATCCGCTGTCAGATCGATGAGTGTGATTGGACATGTGGTCAGTAATCCTGAATGTGATTGGCTGACAGATCAGATGGCGCTTTAGCTGAATTAGATTAGCATAGATGATTAGATGAAGCAGAGCATCGCTGGGCTCCAGGAGCTGCATCCCATCTTCAGTCCATGTCCTGATCAACTCAATTAAACTCACAGCCACAGGGTTATAGAAACTAGATGTTTGCTGTTAGTCCATTTAAAACTGACCAACATGATGCTAAGTGACTATATTGCGGTGTGGCTATAATAGTGTTTCATGTAGTTGCTAGGGTGTAGCTTTGTGTGCAGTGTGGTTGCTAGGGTGTTGTTATGCGACTAATGTGTAGCATGGTTGCTAGGGTTTTTGGTAGGTGACAGTAATATCTTCAGTGTTGTTGCTAGAGTATTGCTATGTGACTGCAATGTTTTCAGTGTGGTTGCAAGGTTGTTGCTATGTGACTAATGTGTTCAGTTTGGTTTCTAATGTTTAGCAGTGGCGGCTCGTGGGTTTTAAAATGGAGGAGGCACACTAATTGTATTGGTCTGGGATCCCTGCCGATTATTATTATTATTTGCTTAACCACTTTAAAATGGCTTGTTGGTTGGTTTTAGTCAGAAAACGTAAAGAAAACGACATGCAATACAGCAAGATAATATAATTTCACTTACCTGGTCTATCACTTGAAGCAAACATCCATCCCTTCTTAAAAGTCTGTGTTAAAAGAGAGCTGCCTGTTGCGCCATTTAATTAAGCCGACTGCTGTAACGTTAGCCTATATCCAGCTTAGACTGTTTTCCCTAAATTTGTATATATACTGTTTGAATGACAGCTTGGTAAATCTGTTGGCGATCAAATATTCAATATCGCTACTCATCATAAGTACTTGGTACATTATCAGCGCAGCGGCAGACGTTCAAACTAATATCATGTAATTTACGTCTCTGTGATGATTGGTTGATATCAGAAGGAGGCTAGCCTCCCTTGCAAGGGTTATTTTCTCAACACTCCTCAGCGCTGAAAGTGAACACTCGATGCTGATTGGCTAATTTTTTTTACCAATGGAGGCACGAGAGCTCAGCTCTCCCCCGGCCTCCCCCTCCCCTTCTCTATCACCTAGCGGTTGTAATTACATCAGCAGATTCGGCACATTCGCGATAGAAAAGCGGAACTTTCACGTTATGGTATTACAACTGTGAAATTACAAACAAAAAATACACATTCTGAGACATGAACTGAAATGAATTGTGAATTTTATTAACATTAAATCGTCCTCCTCCCATTTTCACCTCAAAATTATGGGGAAGCTTTGCATTTGAATATTCTCCTGCTGAGAAATAGGTGATAAAATGTAAGAAAAATTAGTGTGGTCAAGAGAAATTTTTCATATCATTCTTATTTGATGTTCAATATCTCATGAAAGAAATATAGTAGGAGAAAAATTCTTTTTTGGTGATGTTCCCCAACATGTGTGCTGTATGTAAATTAAATTATTTATATTAATATTATTTTGTGGTGAAATCATGAAGGAATCAAAAGTTACAACATTTGGAACCAAGGTAGCCCTTCTCTTAGCCCTTTACAGTTTTGAAATTTTTGTTTTGAATTTGAAGTAATGCCTCACTCAAGTTTAGTCAAAGCCCCCCAAAATTATACTTGTTTCATTCTACTTGATGAGACTCGATGTTTCTGACATATTAGAGTACATGGCACAAAAACATTTTTCATAAATTATAATTTTTCAAAAATCTATTTATCCGCAAATAACTCTGCACTATTTAGGAGTTAATCAAAGTGGCCACATGCATTGTAAAGGTCAGACTCCAAGCTTTCAAATGTCATCAATTTTGTGTTGATTAATGCAGATATTTTGAAAAATATGCTTCTTATTTTTTCTTCGCTAGGGTGCGCCCGCCGGCGGTACACTCCGGTTTAGAGGAACTAGGCAGCACTGGTCAGGAGTGGATCAAAATGGTTGAATGCATTCGAAAGCTGAATTTCTAAGCTTTAAAATGATACCTAATTATTTAAAAAAATATATATATAAGATATGAAATACTCAGAAATATTCAAGGTTTTACATTCTGCTTGTCAAGTATTCAGTGGAGCTCTTCAACTGATTTCTTCAATTCATGGGTTTAGGCATTATTTATATATGAAAGACGCAATGGATTATAATTTTGGACTCATTTCAATCGTGAGAATCTGCTGTAAATAATGATATGCCATGTTCCACGATCGGAGCATGTTTCATGAAATGATAAGCGTAAAAAAACATGTCCATGAGAATATTGCAACGTGGACATTTGGAGTTTATGTGTTATAATTCGATGACGAATATCTTTAGATCTAAATGACAGATTATGGAATGATTGGGCTCATTTTAATCAAGAGAATTTTCCATGATCTCTGCATGTTTCATGAAGTTATGAATGAAAATGTAACCTATGTTTTTCTCAGTTTAATGGTTTAATGTGTGTGATAACATCGTAAGTAATATATTTAGATCTAATGAATGAATTAAGATGAGTTTGGGCTCCTTTTAATTGGGAGAATTTTCTGAAAATAATGACGTGCTTTTCAAGATCTATGTATGTTTCGTGAAGTTATGAATGAAAAAGCAACGTGAAGCATAGAGCTGTTTTTCTTTGCAGTGCCTCAGTGCGCCTGTCTGCTTTCATGTGTTACACGGATTATGGTAAATTTGGGCTCTTTTTAATCGGTTTTTCAAGATCTATGCATGTTTGGTGAAGTTATAAGCTAAAACACCACAGGTCTGCAACCTCTGATTTTTTTGCTAAGCTACATGACCTACTTCTTTTCTATGCGTTATAGCTTTATGAGCGATATCTTTAGATCTGAGCGATGGATTATGGTGAGTTTGGGCTCTTTTTAATTGGGAGAATTTTCTGCAAATAATGAAGGGATATATTTCTATGATATATGCATGTTTTATGAAGTTATGAGCGAAATCGCCACATGACAGCTACCTTACATTTTTTGGCTAAACTACATGCTGCATGTGCAGTTTAATGTGTTATAAATTCATGAGGAAAATCTTTAGATATAAATGGCAGATTATAGTGGTTTTGGGTTCTTTCTAATCAGGAGAATCTGCTCTAAATAATGGTGCCTAATTTCCACAATCTGATCATGTTTTATGAAGTTATAAGTAAAACGGTGACATCAGTATATTATTTTCATATGGATCTGGGGGTGACTTCTTGTACAAAAACTTGCTCCAGTTTAGTCAAACCCCAAAACAATTATATTCGTTGTAATCTACTCTGTGAGACCTTTCAAATGACATATGACGCATGACTATCTGAGCTTTATGATGTTTTTGACATATTACAGTATATAGTACAAAAATAATATTTCAAAAATGATGATTTTTTCCCCCTTCCAGGTTATCAGCAAATCATTTTTCCATTTGGCTACATGCATTATAAAGTTCAAACTCGAAGCTTTCAAATGACACCTATATTGCATTGATCAAGGCTGTAGTTTTGAAAATATGATTATTAATTTTTGCACAATAGGGGGCGTGCCGCCGGCGATAAGGTCAGGGTTCGAAGGACTGCTCAGCACTCGTTAAGAGCTGACCAAAATGATTACATTCATTTAAAAACTGAGATTCCAAGCTTTAAAATTATGTCTAATTTATGTTATTCCATTTAGTGGTTGCTGAGTAATATGATTATGAATGTTTTTTGGGGGGGCGCTTAAAGGGTTAATACTGTTATTTTCTTCTTTATTACTGTGAAGCAGCTTTGAAATATTCTGTGTTGCATAAAGTGCTATCCACCTTATTTTTAGAGTAAGAGTGAGTGCGACCATTTGTAACTTCAATATGCAATACTTCCGGTGTCATTCGCTTCCAGTTATTTTATCTGAATTGTTATTGTAGCTGTGGTTTTTAGGATGTTCAGTATGGTTGCTGTGGTGTTCTTCATCAGTGGATGAACGGCAGCGTCCAGTATCAACATGTTCTGATGGCCGTATTGTGTATTAATGATGCTGTAACCTGATTTAGCATCTCTTCTGTCACAAACAAGGTCCAAAATTTACTTTTTGACACACCTGTTAATGGTCTGTGAATCAAATATTTTTTACCAGCTATTAAACTGTTTTTTTTTATTGTGTTGCTATGATAATAGTATAGTGTGAGCAGCCAACCAGCAAAATACTGTTTAAAATGTTTCACTCTCAACACATACACACACACACACACACACACTGGCATGTGGCATCCGTGGCAAAGGAAAGTTGTGGGTCTCTAACCATGGCAACGTGCTGTTGGCGTGTGTGTGATTTAGTCTTCTGTTGTGTCCTGGGCTCTGATCCCAGCACAGCCTTTAAAATTTAATGAACAATACACACACAGTCATTCACAAAACATGCACACACTCCATCACAGGGCGTTTCTATACGTACAACTGACACACACACACAGTGACAGTAAAGTAAAACCAAGTGCTCAGATGAACACATTAATGTGTAAATATTTTTTACCAGCTATTAAACTGTTTTTTTTTTATTGTGTTGCTATGATAATTGTATAGTGTGAGCAGCCAACCAGCAAAATACTGTTTAAAATGTTTCACTCTCAACACATACACACACACACACACACACACACTGGCATGTGGCATCCGTGGCAAAGGAAAGTTGTGGGTCTCTAACCATGGCAACGTGCTGTTGGCGTGTGTGTGATTTAGTCTTCTGTTGTGTCCTGGGCTCTGATCCCAGCACAGCCTTTAA